GCAGTGGACATCCATTGCCTTGGTTGGAGTTCGTCAACTTTGGAGAACTGTCGCATTGGGCATCACCGTCTCGGCTGCATCCACACGGCTCACCAAGCTTTCGATGTTCTTCAGAGATGATTTCATATATGCCTCAGTTGTGGGACGGACGCAAGTTACGCAACCATCAGTGAACGGCCAGGTAAATCCTTTCCTCTTTCTGCCTTGTCCTCGTGCTGGGTCACCTAATGTAGTTCTGATGGTCAATAGCCACTAGTGTTGACGGTGACCCGACAGAAGGAGGCAAACGCGATACCAGACGTCGGGTCTATTGTTACCGGGAAGATTATACGCGTGAAGCCGCAATTCGCGACAATGAGCATAATGGTTGTGGGGGCTGTGCCGTGCCGCGAAAACTTCCAAGGGGTGATACGAATCCAAGATGTCCGAGCCACAGAACGAGATAAAGTGCAGATCTACAAGAGTTTCAGACCAGGAGATGTAGTGCGGTAGGTTCTTAGCCCATAAATGGTTTGGGTTTAGTCATTTGACAGTCAGACTAGGGCTGAGGTGGTTTCCCTCGGAGATGCCCGAAGTTACTACCTGTCAACTGCGGACAACGAGCTCGGTGTCATCTTCGCGCAGAGCATGGCCGGATTCACCATGATACCAATATCATGGGAGCAAATGATATGTCCGAAGACCAAGGTAAACCTGATTAAGCAGAAGTGAAGCTTTGACGACCCCTATTTACCCGATCTATTTGTAGGTCATGGAGTATAGAAAATGTGCTAAGCCAAATGTGTAGCTAATTGTATATAAATATGTGAAAACTTCCGATATGATAGAGCATGTCGCTTGCGCATAGTGTCAACATCATCAGAGACCTTCAATGGTTGTTTCACGGGAAGAATGTTATGCTTTCCTCTTCCACGCCTGATGGCGCTTCTATAGCTTTGATTTCTTCTTTAAAGTGCTTCCGGAGAGCGTTTCTCACCGCCTACGAGAGAGAAGTCAGCACATCGTTCTCTGATAACAACCACTCCTGGATGACATACCCTTGATTCAGCCTGCTCGCGGCTACTTCCGTAGCCGTCACCGAGTTTCACATCTCCCTGGAAAAGCCCAACCATATATATCGCGGCTGGTGTGCCCCCTCCGGCCTCTCTTAGTATGCTGATAACCAAATTGATGAGGTCAGATATGAAGTTCCCGAAGAATGTAAAGGTACAAGAAATTACCGTGCGACTGGTCTTTCCCTTTTTGATGTCCGCACGATCGCATCAAGAAGTGCCTTTGGATCCGCCATTTTTGTGTGTATGCTGGCGTCGATCGGTCGCGAGAAAAAGTGTTCCACAATGAACTCCTTCGCAGCTGCAGCCCCCTGATCCAGATACAGCGCCCCAATCAGCGCTTGAAGGACAGATGAGGTGACTTTGTTGTCGGCATTCCCAATACTCTTTTCCGAAACCTGCGGGCGCACATGTTTAGAAGCAGTTCGGACACTGGACCTGTCCACATCTTTTGCATACCTTCCATCGCATAACCTTTGGTATGCCAACCTTCCGCCCAACTGCCTGAAGAGCCTCTGGACCAGTCAATTGCTCCACAACGCTATTCACGGATTCCGCTGGGATGTCGGGGTACGTGGTATGCACATGCTCAGCGGCGTACATAGACAAAACTTTATGTCCTGCAAATATGCGACTAGTACGTAAGACAACACCCGCAACCGACAGTTTCCTTTCGTGCATTCACATACCAAGGAAACTTAACCGATCATTTTGTGTGTCGCTGTTCTTCAAGAAGGAGGAATGTGTAAGAGCGTCAGAGAGAAGCTTCGAGTTGGTGAGTTGTAATCCATTTTGTTGAGCGAAGGTCGAAAAGGCTGCGCTCTCGGCCGGGGAGAGGTGTGTCGCGGAGGTGGTGTATGATCGAAGCGGGGTAAGGAGTGGCCGTTGGCATGACCTTCGTAGCAATGGCTGCCGCGAGGATAGGAAGAACGAACGCATGACCGTCGGAGGGTGGACAAGGATATAACGCAGGCCTGACACAAATGCGGAGACGCTTCGCTGATTGGAACTGGAAGTCTGAATTCGCAGTTTTGCGTTGTCGACTTTGCAAGGTCGACTGGCCAAACTTTCATTTGCTCACCTCACGTTGCCATGACCGCGGGCATCACCGTCGAGACCGTCGAAATGGTAAATTGCAGAGCCATTACATTTGACATTTGTACCAACGACACATAGACAATGGTTGCTGTTTCGGCAGAAGAGGAGTTTGGGGGCCTCACGGCGCTGGAGCGTCTGCGGGAATTGCAAAAATTGGTGAGGACGCCTTTTGAATCGCGATGCTTGAGGTCTTGCTCACGAGGACACCTTTTTCGGCTCTCTAGCATCCTGACACATCCCTGAGGTAGTACAACGACATCCGGGTCTCGATAGCTGTGAGAGACTAATTCATGTGGATTTTTCTTGTCAATAGTGTCATTGTTGTAATGGTAGGGCCTTCACCACGCAGAACGGTGCTGCGTCCCCCCAACTTATAGTTAGTTACCTTGGTGGATAGGCTTTAGTGAACATTATGAGCGACTACGACCGTAAGCTGGGCGAAAGAATGTGATACAGAGCTCCCCACTTATTGATGAGTTCTAAGATGTCAAGTCCATCATGGAATACTCGAGATATGCCACACGAGCCGCCAACGCTTTCAAGAGCCTGCCTGACAAGAAAGCGTCCATGATTGCTGGCGCGGATCTTTTCGTTGACATATTCTCTAAGCATAGAGCCTCTAGTGACGCCTCCAGCCGCAATGTAAGCCCTCATTATCGTTTCGTCGCATCGGTATTCTTACATCTGGCTAAAATCTGCTACTTCAGGTCGATGACTGGAAGAATGAGATTAAAGACGAGTGTGCGCAGCAGCTTGAACAGTACAGAAACTATCGGGAGAAAGCCGCGGACAAGGGCTTGCCCTTTGTCAAAGATGACACCGTGATTCTTGTGCACTCCTATTCAAGGGCTGTCATGTTGCTTTTGCGAAAAGCCCACAACAGCAACAAGCGGTTCAAAGTATTTGTGACCGAAACCAGCCCCACGTCGAGCGGGTGAGCCAGTGCCGTATTCGAGTGCGCCATGCGCCACTGGAATCTCATGATTGGCGATTCTTCTCCCAGAACTAAAGCCGTCACTGAACTGAGAGCGTCCAACATTCCAGCGGAGTTGATATTGGATGCAGCGGTTGGTTTTATCATGGATCGCGTTGACATGGTTATTGTTGGGGCGGAAGGGGTAGTTCAGAACGGGGGCATCATCAATCAGGTGACGCTTCGCGGAAACCTCAGGTCTCAGAACCGTGTCTCATGCAAGAACCTTTCCTAGATTGGGACCTATCAGATTGCCGTCGTCGCCAAGGCCGCGAATAAACCGTTCTATGTTGTCACTGAGCAGTAAGTTTCATTCGGCCTCATAATTCGACGTATGCTCCTTTCCCGTAGTGGTTTAATGGGCATCATCTTCTCATAGATACAAGTTTGTTCGCCTCTTTCCCTTGAACCAAAACGACTTGCCAATACCACTCCCTTCGTACTTTGCCAACCCTGACGGAGACACCATAATCGTAAGTGCTTGCCTGATCTGGAGGCAAATTTGGAATAATGACACTGAACTGTTTCCTGTGCATGCAGCCACGAAATCCAACTATAGACTACACTCCTCCGGAGTACATCAGCCTTCTATTCACCAACGTTGGTGTTCTAACGCCAATGGGTGTGAGCGAAGAAATTGTGAAAAAAATGTTGGCCTGATGTTCTGCACATATTCATTATAATCATCCATATCCCCGTCAATCATGATGTCATTTTTTACAGCAGTTCAACGCCCATTGCAGACCCTCTTCCACTCCCTCGCCCGATTTCGCTGAACAAGGTTGTATTTGCCAGTTGCGATCTCTGATTGCGTTTAAGTTCAGGCCGGTTGCAATCTGGTGGTTGCAGATGTTCGTCACATCGCCATTTGATGAAATGAACACAAAACAATGCACCCACCTCATCTCCGGGCAGCGCGCTCACCAGATCTTGCTTGTTAGCGAATACTAGCAATGGGACTCCAGCAAGTTTGTTTTCTTCTAGCAGATTGTGAAGCTCCTCTCCGCTGATGAAGGTGAACGGCAACCATATTTGATGTGAGTGGGGGCCCGGTGGCAATGCTCGGTGGTGTCACAAAACAGCAGCTGCTCTCTTACGTCTCTTCGAGTCTCCGGCGATCAGCACTGTCAATTATGTATATCTAGAGCACATGCCATTGCGCGGTGAGCGCCACGTTCCCAAAGCTGTCCTAAACGTTTGCAAGGCGGAGAACCCCAGCTTGGGAGCTTCAAATTTCACCTACTAGGACGTCCGTGCTTTCAAAGTAGTTTCTCCAATACGGGCGAATCGTTTTCTGTCCTCCGATATCCCACACGTTGAGTTTCACGCCTTCGACCATAACACTCTTGATATTGAATCCCTGCGTGGGCTTGATCTCGGTGATATCTTCTGAAGCCAGTGACTTTAATATTGTGGTTTTGCCCGCATTGTCCAGTCCCAGAAGCAGAATCCGGAGATCTGTTGGACTGCTCCGAAGCCGCCGAAGGAGTGAAAGGAGTCCCTGCAATGATGACGGGCGCATTGAGCCATCGGCGTGCTTGCATAGTTTCTGCTGGTTGCGGAGACTACTTCCCAGTTTCACGAACTTACCATCGTTTGGTTTATGAATGTGTGGTGCAGAATCTTAGCAAGTGAAGGACCAACGCGTTCTTCGTAAGTCGCGTACACGACGCGTCCGTTGATAATTAACTGTAAGTAAGCAAGCGTGAACCGCCCCGGAAAAGCGCTGGTCAGTCGGTTACGTTAACCGTTACGGGATCCATGTCTTGTCAACACAACAAATGCAAGCGGACATCGATAAAGGCAAGCCTGGCCATGTCGTCAAAAAGGAGCGAGAAAAAGCATGGGAAAGAAAATGAAAAAATTGAGGTGTGAAGTGCACCCAAGGGGATTCGAACCCCTGCCTCTTGCGAGATCGGGACTTGAATCCGACGCCTTAGACCAACTCGGCCATAGGTGCTAGTGTACAACGTTTGATTCGATGCGGCCTGTGAGCCAATAAAGTATTGCATACGGTACTGGCTGAGGTCCTGTCATTACCGTATTGTCAACGCGTCAGACCAGATCGAACAGAGGCCATGCCTTTCTAAACTCCAATTTGCCAATGAGCCAACGAGAAGAGTACTCTAACACCTTCAAGTTTACTTCGATCCCCTCCCTATCCGCACTGTCAGCCAATCCTAAGAATGTTCAATCCACGTTTCTGAAGATTTCCAGTCACCATGTCTCAGGTCTTGACGAGGCAATTATTGAGAAACAGGTTGAGTTCACCTTGGATATTCTGCCACCATCTAGAGGGCTATAACTGGTACATTTTCAGCCGGATGTAGCCTTTTCCGACGTCCTGGTCATCCATGCAGGCTCTAGGAATTTGCGCTTGGGTCGCGCCTCGGATGCTTTTCCGAAAGAAGTGCCACACTTGATTGTTCGCAAAGTGTACTTGCGTGAAGAACCTGGCGCAGAGAGCAAAGCTCCTATAGACATGTCTGCCGTGTCAGACTCATTCACGGAGTTCATTCGTTACGAAACCGAACTGTTGGCGCCCGTTCAGGAAGATTTGAAGCAGCGCATGCGCGAGCAGAAGATTAGGTCGGTGCCTAATGCCCATAGCCAAGTAGTAGGATACAACGAGCAAATCATACCGGAAAGCATTCCAGACCATAACGATCCATACAAGATCGACTGGACTGAAGTCACTGACGAGATGAATCACATCGTAGGGCTAAAGGTATCAATACGTCAAGAGCACTAGAAATGATAGAGGGCCTCGTCTGACATGATTGTACAGGCACTTCGGTTGGCAAGTCTCAAAACTACACAAACAAGCGCTGCACCAGGTCGGGAATATCAATTTCGTGCATTTTACCCAATTCAGCATGGCTTGTTGAACGTGAAGGATTACACTTCCGCAAGAGCGTGTATGGCCGACATGCAAACGATCTGGACAGAGAGCATAGAATCTGAGTTGGAGATACCAAGAAAGGAGTTCCCGTCATATAATGTCGTGTGGGTTGTCCCGGATCTGTTTAGTAAGGTTCACTTGCGTGAGGCTATCACTATGCTACTTCAAGAAATGTGCTTTCGCGGTGTGACGGTTCTTCAAGTGGGTACGGGCAAATGCGCTCAGGATCGTCCAGTGAATTTGATCGTGTACTCAATGGCAATTCTGCTTCCATTCTTACAGGAATCCGTGGCCGCCACATTTGGAGCTGGAATTACGACGGCGTGCGTTCTAGACATCGGCGCTCAGAAGACCAGCGTCGCGTGTGTTGAGGACGGGATGTGTGTGGCCGCCTCTCGGTAAGAACACACGTTATGAAGATAACTTGCGACGACGAATCTAAATGCGTGGAAATCAGTGTCAATCTCAAATACGGAGGCGATGATGTAACTGCATTTTTGATGAAGCTCCTGTCAGGTAGCTCATTCCCATACAAGGATTTTGACCCAAAATTGCATGCATATGATTGGCTCCTTGCGGATGAATTGAAGGAAAAGTTCTGCACGTTTCATGAGGTTTGGACCTGAAAATGCTTTAGCTCACAGGCTCATGGACCATAAGTACTCATTCCGACTGATAGTCAGAGATGATGGTGAACCTTTGTGATTTCTATGTCCGGACACCAGATCGACCCACATCCCTCCATCGGATGAAAGTGTACGACGAAGTTCTGCTGGCGCCCCGGGTAGGTAGCACCTTTCATTCACAGTCGGTAAACACTAATGGCATCTCGGCAGGCATTGTTCCACCCCCAGGTCATCGATTTTGGCAAGAAGCTGAAGCATATAGCGTTTGAAGAAACGTACCTTGATATTGACGCCGAAGAAGAGGGGAACGGTGACGAATTATCCTCCGAGGCGATGGCTGCTAATCTGGTTGCCTATCGGACATACATACAAAGTCCCGACAAGTTTACAAATGGCCACTTGAAGCGCAAGCAATCGGATAGTCTCAATGTCGAAATGGTGGATGCAGCACGAATGATGTCTGGATCAACCACACCGGAGCGGTCCAAGCGATTGAAGAAGGACGCAGGAGGCGGCTCAGATGCAGATGTCGTGCTCATCGTGCATTTGAATGCCACAAAACCTGACTCAACAGGGAATGTTAATAACATCCTGGAACCACAGCCAGAGGATGAGGCAATGCGGGATCTGCCGTTGACGCATTTTCTTCGACGGAGACGGGCGATTGGCATGTTGAAGGATGTTTCTATGCCACTGAATGATGCCGTCGCACAGTCGTTCAGCCTTTACGCGAGCTCCTATCCGGAAGCTAAGGAAGCCGAACTGGAAAGTCGAATAAAGAAACTGTGCTCATCGATTCTGGTCGTCGGCGGAGGCGCCTTGATAACAGGGCTGGGGAAGCAACTGGAAGTACGGGTGGCAGCTGCACTGCAGGCCACCGTTTTGAAGAAAAGACTAGATTCACTGTCGTCAAACAACTTTACGTCAGCGCTTATCCCTCGCGTGCTGCAGAATCCGCGAGATATTGATTCCAGGGTGCTGGTGTGGAAAGGTGGTGCTGTCTTCGGGAAGCTGGATATGTGTAATGATCTATGGATCCGCAGGCGGAACTGGGAAAATGGCGGCATGTCAGGCAATATTGCCAAGTTGATGTTCCCTTGGGATTGAAAATAGGCTTGCAAATGCTGTAAAAATAACTATACTGAACGCTGCCTATTCTGATCCGCGTGGCATTGGGCTGGCTATCCTACTTCTTCCTCTTCGTTGCTGGTGCACCGGATCCTTCATCAGTTTCCTGTTTTCGTTTACCTGCTCTCGGACTTGGCGGTGACTCAACATCCGAATCTTCGTCCGAATTATCAAATTTAATATGCGCGCGAGAAGGAAGCTCGCTGTTGTTCACAGAGCGCATGTCGTGGTCCGCAGGATCCTGCCTGACATCGTGACTCTTAACGCCGGCTGTTGATCGACCAGATGTTGGAGCTGAGTAGGACACAGGCGGGTGAGTCTGATACCAATGCTTCTCTTCTTGGCGTCCCACAATCCTTTCCCAGTAAGCGGTTTCTTCGTCGCCTGCGTGCTTGAACGTTATTGACCATGATTTTGCTGAGTGGCAACAACGCAATTAACGCTCACCAGTCAGTAATTCGAATTTGACATTCGGCAAGTCGGCCTCTTCCAGTTCCACTGGTTCGTCTGTGGTTCTACCTTGCAGATCAGCCGATTCGCTAGTGTCATTTGAGGCATTCTTCTTTTTCTTTTTGCTCTCACAAAGAGTGCCACAATCGTATGCATGGGTTTGAACCACGTACTCATTAGTAAAATACGTGAACGCGAGTCGAGCTCCGTGAGGCGTTTTGAATCGTATGAATCCCTTTATTGAGACCTTTTGAGTAAGGATGCCAATGCCATCGCAAGCGATGTGACTTACATTGTTCTCTTTTGGTGAAAAGTCCACGAATGTTACGGGTGCGATCATTTCGAAAAGGCGCTATTGAATATGGACCGCTCAATATAGGAAGAAATGGAGGACAAACCGAGTCCAGACTTGTAGTTACCTTGATGATCTTCGTGTTTGTACCTCGGAAAACATCAGAGAATCGTCCTACAACCTTACTTTGGTATTGTGCTGTTTGCCAACCCGCCTGATTTCGTGTATGTTCTTGCAGCTGCTGTGTCCTCACGCCAAGGAGAGTTTCGTAGTTATTTGTTAGTTCTATCCATTGAGATCTAGTTTCAAGGGTTAGCCAAATTGAGGAGAGGAACTTTAGATTGCCACATACTTTGGCATCACTCTTATGTGCCCGAGTTTATCGTCGTGTTCAATGTCGTCCGTGAAAGACCTCAAATCCGAATCATTCGCAAGTTCTTGGAATCTTGAGCCAAAAATGTCCAGTGCTTTCGCGACAGTGTCTTTGTGATCAAATACCACAAACGCAAATTCTGAGCGTGGAATGAGCGCTTTGGGTGGCAAGATGACCTTTGCCACAGGCCCGGCAACAGTGAAAGCAGCCCTCAAAAGCTCGCCATTGGCTTTGATAGGGAGATGATCCTGTATTACATGGCCTTAGCGAGACTGTACGGAAGACACTGCGAGTTACCTTGGACATACAACATAAATACTGCGAGAGTCCTGCTCGCCGAAGTCTGGTACCGGGGTTCTCCGTCGAACACTCTTTCCGTCATCACTGATCTAGATACCACATGCCCTAAGTTAATATATCCAATAGGAGTGGAACACACGATGCAATTACAACCTCCAAGGTGGGAACATAAGTGCGCACAGCATGGGCCACAACGGCCTCATCATCCGTGCCCACCTTCCTGCTCGTGAGAACCCGGATGGGAATCCCTTGAAAGATAGTAGATACATGTTAGGTGCAAGGTCTGGGAAGTAATATGGAGTATGCACTCGCGGAATAGGCAAGACACCATAGTGAGAAGCACTCACATCTTCCTTCCAATTCCGATATCATTTTTGTAACTCCCCTATCATAAGACAAGGCATCATCTGTGAAGAACTGTGCAATCGTGACACTGAGCTCCTGTTCTCTGGATTGGAACGAGGGGGTTTCTGGCTCTTTAGCCATGGCAGCGGTCTTATAGTGAGTGGGGTGCAGTGTTCAACGAGGTGCGAAAAAAGCTGCGAAAGTGTCAGAGGGAGACGCCCAGCGCGCTCACAACTCACCGTCGCCCAACCTGTCAGTTTCCTCGACTGGTCATCTCACCTTGTTACCCCTGCCACACCACTTGTCCCGGCCCGCCGAGCTTCCCGAACTTGCGATATACATTTGTTGAATCTGAACTGTTATCAGCAGGAAGGGACAGGGGAGAACCATGGAGTCTTACCCCTTGGAGTATGTCCTACACCACGTTCCGCTCATGGCTGTGTCAGGGCTTCTGGACACGGAAGTCCTTGGAAACAATGACGGGATGCTTCAGGAAGATGCTGGCGGCTCTTTGAGAAAGTCGCTTCTGTCCGTGCTGATGTCG